AGTAGATACACCCCTGATCACACACACACCACACTGCTGAGAGCACATGGGACCAAAACCCTCAGTGTATATGTATCTTCTGTAGCATGTTGGACATGTTTTGTATAATTACGTTTTTGTTTTTTTTTGCTTAGGTTAAACGTTGTTTTATAACAAAGTTTCCATTTTTAATACTATAAAAGAAATCAAATATACAGAAGAAGAAACAAATATGAAACAGAATAGAGGAAGAAGGGACGCTGAGGGGAATGCAGACTTTGCTGTCAACCATAATCCAATTTGTTTTCCAACATTGTGAAGAGTCTTATAAAGGTTCCAAAACTCTCCTAAAATGTTCAATTATGTAATTAAAGTGACTTCAAACTCCGGAGTTCAATCTTAAAAATGCATTCAGGAACCTTCACTATGAACAAGAATGTATCTCATCAGGACGCAGGAGTGATCGGCAGCCAGAACATCATTCACCCTTTTTAAAGGGTGTCGTGACTGAAAGAAGGTTGAGAAACAGTAGGGAACAGTGAGCAACCCCGTCGGGATGATATCTCTGCCTGTGTCCCTGCGAAGGCCGGGTCGCCCTCACTCCCTGTCCTATGGACCATCATCACCCGAGTCGCCCTCACTCCCTGCCCTATGGACCATCTTCACCCAAGTCGCCCTCACTTCCTGTCCTATGGACCATCATCACCCGAGTCGCCCTCACTCCCTGCCCTATGGACCATCGTCACCCGAGTCGCCCTCACTCCCTGTCCTATGGACCATTGTCACCCGAGTCGCCCTCACTCCCTGTCCTATGGACCATTGTCACCCGAGTCGCCCTCACTCCCTGCCCTATGGACCATCGTCACCCGAGTAGCCCTCACTCCCTGCACTACGGACCGTCGTCACCCAAGTCGCTCTCTCTCCCTGCCCTATGGACCATCATCACCCGAGTCGCCCTCACTCCTTGTCCTATGGACCATCGTCACCCGAGTCGCCCTCTCTCCCTGTCCTATGGACCATCATCACCCGAGTCGCCCTCACTCCCTGCCCTATGGACCATCGTCACCCGAGTCGCCCTCACTCCCTGCCCTATGGACCATCGTCACCCGAGTCGCCCTCACTCCCTGCCCTGTGGACCATGATCACCCGAGTCGCCCTCACTCCCTGCCCTATGGACCGTCGTCACCCGAGTCGCCCTCACTCCCTGTCCTATGGACCATCGTCACCTGGGTCGCCCTCACTCCCTGTCCTATGGACCATCGTCACCTGGGTCGCCCTCACTCCCTGTCCTATGGACCATCGTCACCTGGGTCGCCCTCACTCCCTGTCCTATGGACCATCGTCACCTGGGTCGCCCTCACTCCCTGTCCTATGGACCATCGTCACCTGGGTCGCCCTCACTCCCTGTCCTATGGACCATCGTCACCTGGGTCGCCCTCACTCCCTGTCCTATGGACCATCGTCACCTGGGTCGCCCTCACTCCCTGTCCTATGGACCATCGTCACCTGGGTCGCCCTCACTCCCTGTCCTATGGACCATCGTCACCTGGGTCGCCCTCACTCCCTGTCCTATGGACCATCGTCACCTGGGTCGCCCTCACTCCCTGTCCTATGGACCATCGTCACCTGGGTCGCCCTCACTCCCTGTCCTATGGACCATCGTCACCTGGGTCGCCCTCACTCCCTGTCCTATGGACCATCGTCACCTGGGTCGCCCTCACTCCCTGTCCTATGGACCATCGTCACCTGGGTCGCCCTCACTCCCTGTCCTATGGACCATCGTCACCTGGGTCGCCCTCACTCCCTGTCCTATGGACCATCGTCACCTGGGTCGCCCTCACTCCCTGTCCTATGGACCATCGTCACCTGGGTCGCCCTCACTCCCTGTCCTATGGACCATCGTCACCTGGGTCGCCCTCACTCCCTGTCCTATGGACCATCGTCACCTGGGTCGCCCTCACTCCCTGTCCTATGGACCATCGTCACCTGGGTCGCCCTCACTCCCTGTCCTATGGACCATCGTCACCTGGGTCGCCCTCACTCCCTGTCCTATGGACCATCGTCACCTGGGTCGCCCTCACTCCCTGTCCTATGGACCATCGTCACCTGGGTCGCCCTCACTCCCTGTCCTATGGACCATCGTCACCTGGGTCGCCCTCACTCCCTGTCCTATGGACCATCGTCACCTGGGTCGCCCTCACTCCCTGTCCTATGGACCATCGTCACCTGGGTCGCCCTCACTCCCTGTCCTATGGACCATCGTCACCTGGGTCGCCCTCACTCCCTGTCCTATGGACCATCGTCACCTGGGTCGCCCTCACTCCCTGTCCTATGGACCATCGTCACCTGGGTCGCCCTCACTCCCTGTCCTATGGACCATCGTCACCTGGGTCGCCCTCACTCCCTGTCCTATGGACCATCGTCACCTGGGTCGCCCTCACTCCCTGTCCTATGGACCATCGTCACCTGGGTCGCCCTCACTCCCTGTCCTATGGACCATCGTCACCTGGGTCGCCCTCACTCCCTGTCCTATGGACCATCGTCACCTGGGTCGCCCTCACTCCCTGTCCTATGGACCATCGTCACCTGGGTCGCCCTCACTCCCTGTCCTATGGACCATCGTCACCTGGGTCGCCCTCACTCCCTGTCCTATGGACCATCGTCACCTGGGTCGCCCTCACTCCCTGTCCTATGGACCATCGTCACCTGGGTCGCCCTCACTCCCTGTCCTATGGACCATCGTCACCTGGGTCGCCCTCACTCCCTGTCCTATGGACCATCGTCACCTGGGTCGCCCTCACTCCCTGTCCTATGGACCATCGTCACCTGGGTCGCCCTCACTCCCTGTCCTATGGACCATCGTCACCTGGGTCGCCCTCACTCCCTGTCCTATGGACCATCGTCACCTGGGTCGCCCTCACTCCCTGTCCTATGGACCATCGTCACCTGGGTCGCCCTCACTCCCTGTCCTATGGACCATCGTCACCTGGGTCGCCCTCACTCCCTGTCCTATGGACCATCGTCACCTGGGTCGCCCTCACTCCCTGTCCTATGGACCATCGTCACCTGGGTCGCCCTCACTCCCTGTCCTATGGACCATCGTCACCTGGGTCGCCCTCACTCCCTGTCCTATGGACCATCGTCACCTGGGTCGCCCTCACTCCCTGTCCTATGGACCATCGTCACCTGGGTCGCCCTCACTCCCTGTCCTATGGACCATCGTCACCTGGGTCGCCCTCACTCCCTGTCCTATGGACCATCGTCACCTGGGTCGCCCTCACTCCCTGTCCTATGGACCATTGTCACCCGAGTCGCCCTCACTCCCTGTCCTATGGACCATAGTCACCTGGGTCGCCCTCACTCCCTGCCCTATGGACCATTGTCACCCGAGTCGCCCTCACTCCCTGTCCTATGGACCATCGTCACCTGGGTCGCCCTCACTCCCTGTCCTATGGACCATCGTCACCCGAGTAGCCCTCACTCCCTGTCCTATGGACCATCGTCACCCGAGTCGCCCTCACTCCCTGCCCTATGGACCATTGTCACCCGAGTCGCCCTCACTCCCTGCCCTATGGACCATCGTCACCCGAGTCGCCCTCACTCCCTGTCCTATGGACCATCGTCACCTGGGATGAAAGTCTGATAGTTATTGTGACATTATATCCGAATGAATAAAAATATAAATATATATAATACACAAAGGTAGCGAGTCCGAGACTTCAAATCTCAATAACGTCTTCAAGATTCAGATATTTGTGTTAACGGAATTTACACAGACTAGGGCTGCAACAACTAATCAACATAATCGATTATAATCGATTATTGAAAAAGTTGTCAACTTTTTCAATCGTCGATTAATTGGCCTCTGATTAGTTGGCCCTGTTCACGGCTCCACACAAGCTGCGCGCCGCCCCTCTTCCCCACCTCACGCTCGCCGCTGCCAGACCCGCCCACCCGCATCCACACGCCACACCTTTTAAAGCAGAAAATATGGGCAAGCGTTGGGATTTGAGAAGGGAAAAATGGTGATGTCTAGATGACTGGCTCAGAGCAACACCACAAACTGCAGCTCTTGTGGGACGTTCCCGGTCTGCAGTGGCCAGGACCGACCAAGTGTGGTCCAAGGAAGGTCTGATGAATTACGTTTCCTTTTACGTCATGTGTATAGCCGGTTGTGTGTGTTGCTTACATGAGGTAAGAGATGGCACCAGGATGCACTATGAGAAGAAGACAAGCCGGCGGAGGCAGTGTGATGCTTTGGGCAATGTTCTGTTATTATTATTATACAGGATTTATATGGCGCCAACAGTTTGCGCAGCGCTTTACAATATAAGGAAGACATTACAATCACAATACAATTCAGGACAAGATGGTAAGGAGGGCCCCGCCCCTGAGGGCTTACAATCTAAAAGGGAGACGAAGGGATACCTCGGGTCCTGCCATTCATGTGGATATGACTTTGGCCACCGGCCTAAACATTGTTGACCATGTACCCCTTCATTCCTGATGGCAGTGACCTCTTTCAGCAGGATAATGCGCCCTGCCACAATGCAAGAATGGTTTGAGGAACACAACAACAAGTCTGAGGTGATGACTTGGCCTCCAAATTCTCCAGATCTCAATCCAAATGAGAATCTGTGGGATGTGCTGGGAAAACAAGCCCGATCCATGGAGGCCGATCACCTCACATTCTAGAGGACTTAAAGGATCTGCGACTGACGGCTTGGTGCCAGATACCACAGCACACCTTCAGAGGTCTAGTGGAGTCCATATCTGGATGGGTCAGGAAGAGGGGGACCTAGTCGATATTGGGCAGGTGGTCATAATGTTATGGCTGATCGGTGTAGAGCTGGATTTAAGGGTGACTTTTTGTATTTCCATGGAGTTTAGCTCAAAGGCTCTTCCCCCGTGTTATCCTTCTGATGTAGGACAAGGTGTAGCCTGTTGTGCATTTGATTATGGGCGGTCAGGTTGGCTTTACTCCGAAAAACCCTCCCGCACTCGGCGCACGAATACCGCACGTCGCACGTGTGCGTCCTCTGATGCGAAACTAGGGTCCCCTTCTGGGCGAAAGACTTCCCGCATTCGGTACAGGAATACGGCTTCTCGCCCGTGTGGACCCTTTCGTGTCTCGTGAGAGAGGACTTGTAAGAAAAACTTTCGCCGCACCTGGAGCAGGAGAACGGCTTCATCCCCGTGTGAGTCGCCTGGTGGCTACAAAGATCCGACCTGTTGACGAAACATTTCCCGCAGTCGGAACACGCGTAAGGTTTCTCTCCCGTGTGGGTCGTCTGGTGAATGGCGAGATTGGACTTTTTGGTGAAACATTTGCCGCATTCGGGGCACGAAAATGGCTTCTCTCCCGTGTGGTCTCTGTGGTGTTCGACGAGCAAATGTTCGAGAGGGAAACGTTTGCCGCATTCGGAACACTGGTACGGCTTCTCCCCTGTGTGAGTCTTCTGGTGGTAGGTGAGGCTCCTGCTCTGGGAAAACGATTTACCGCATTCCAGGCATGAATACGGCTTCACTCCGGCGTGGCTCCTCTGATGTATGATGAGAGCGGTCTGGCACGGAAAACATTTGCCGCATTCGGAACATAAAAACGGCTTCTCCCCGGTGTGAGTGATCTGATGCAGGATGAGATGGTTCCTCTGGGAGAAGCACTTGCCGCACTCAGAACACGTATAGGAGTCTTCCCCGGCATGGATTTTTTCGTGCCTGGCGAGGTAGGACTTGATGGGGAAATTTTTACCGCACTCGGCACAGGAATACGGCTTCTCCTCCGAATGAGTTTTCTGATGCGTTATCAGGTTTGATTTCTTCGCAAAACACTTCCCACAATCCGAGCACGAGTACGGCTTCACCCCCGTGTGCGTCCTTTCGTGCTGAGTGAGACTCGAGCGCTCCGGAAAACACTTCCCGCATTCCGAACAGGAATACGGCTTCTCCCCCGTGTGACCTCTCTGGTGCACGACGAGGCTGGACCTCCTCGTAAAAGACTTCCCGCATTCGGAACACGAAAACGACTTCTCCCCGCTGCCACCGCTCTGTTGTGAGACGAGCTCTCGTCTCCGTTCCGAAGGATGGCCACGTGAGCGCCGAGCTTCCTGTGCACAGAGGCCGGAGGAGAAATCTGCCCCGTTAGGCGGTGGGCTGGCCGTTGGAGTCATGGGGTTGCCTTCGGAAGAATCCGATGTGACGTCATCTTCTAGTTCATCATCCGGAGATGTATTGGGATAATCTTCCACGGTAAACCTTTTGTATTGGCCATCTGGAGGAAGTAAGAAATAAAAGATAAATATAAAACTTTTTACTTCAGTTTTGTATGTAATGGAAAAACATTAACCCCTTCACGACCAGTGACGTACAGTGTACGCCGCTGGTATCGGGGCTGTTTAGACAGACGCCGCCAGGACTCTGTTTAAACTTGTAAAGCCGTCTGTCGGCTTTACAGTAGCTTCTACGGGCCGGTGAACGGGTCCCCCCCGACACCCTCGCCGTGTTTCCCGGGCTCCGTTGCCCCTCCTACGGGCCCGGCTTCTTTGGTGTCGGCGGGGAGCTGGGGAGGAGAGGGACGAACCTCCGTTCGCCGACCCCCTCCCCGTTCTATGGGACCGGGAGCGATGCAGATGACATCACTTCCGGTCCCTGAGCTGTCATTGGTCGGCCCCTGAAGCCCAGCAATAAGCTATTGAAGTGCGATCCGCACCCCAATAGCTGATTTGGAGTGTAAAGGTGACACTGGGGGTCTTTTGGACCCCCACCTTAAAGAGTACCTGTCACCACCATCTGCTATGTCTTGCAAGCCCCCCTATGTGATAGCAATTCAAGTAAAAAAAACAAACAAACAGTTTTTAACATTAACATTAAATAAATGTAAAAATAATAATACAGATTTTTTAAAGTCCCCCGCCCCCCCCCCGCATCGAGTGCGCCTACATATGAAAACAATGAACGCGCTACACATGTTGGGTATCGACACGCAAGCTGGAGTGAGAACAATAATTCTGGGGCCAGTATTTTTGGATATCTCTAACTAATGACCTGTGGGGGACTTTTAAAGCATCGTCTATGGACTTTTTGGGGTACTGAATTTTGTTTCGCACACCATTTTTAACCTGGGCATGTCGGGTATCTATTTACTCGTTGTCACCTCATCTTTTATATTTTATTTAGAAAAAATTGGTATTTTATTGTGTTTTGGGGCATTTAAGTGCATTTTTCACTAAATTCTGGGGTTTGATAAGGAGTTGCGCTAATATCGTGCAACATAAAAATTTGCAACTGCCGCCATTTTATTCTACAGGGTCTCGGCTTTAAGAAAATATATCATATTTGGGGGGTTTTAAGTAATTTTCAGGCCTAAAATGTGAAATATAACATGGGTGCAAAATATGAAGAAAAAAAAAGGTCTGTCATGAAGGGGTTAAATGCGTTTTACTGCATTACTATTATAACTGCTGGAAATCTCTCGTTATGTCCTCAACTTCCTGTTCAAGACTGAGAATAGAAGATTATGCAAAGTATGTCAGCTGGGTTCCATTACACAAGGTTGTCCTCCTAAAATGTCTCCAGGTACTGGATGCAGGAGGGTTGGAGTTCAGACATCCCCCAGAAGGGGGCAGCAGATGTTGCTTATACATATCCAATGACCACAAAGAAGTTGGGGAGCTGCAGTGCCTAATAGTGTGTCAATGAGCTGCACCGAATGTCAGCTTGCCGTGGACTGGCCCCGACCCAAGGAAATCCCAGCATAGAAGACAATTTACTCATCACCAGGTATCAATACAGTACAGCAAATGATATTGAGGTTAAAACGATTATAATGACTCGGGATGCACCGATGCCGAAACCGAGTATCGGTGTCCATACCAAGTATTTGGGCGAGTACTCGCCCAAATGCTCCGATACTTACTTCCGATACCGGTCAGAGGGGGATCTCCCTCTGACCGAGGGAGCATGGAGCTGGCTTCCTTTCCAATCAGGAAGCTGGGAGGTGGGTTATGAATCGCCTCCCGGCTTCACTTGTTGCTAGGCAGCCTGGCTTTCTAAACAATCAGGAAGCCGGGCGGCACATAATGACCCGCCTCCCTGATTGGTCAGGAAGCCAGGCTGCCTAGGAACAAGTGAAGCCGACTTTCTACCCACTTAGGAAGCCGGGAAGCGGGTCATGATGAGCGTCACTTGTTGGTAGGAAGCCTGGCATCCTGACCAATAAAGGAAGCTGGACGGCACTTGATGACTTCCCGCCCGGCTTCCTGATTGGTCAGGAAGCCAGGCAGGCAGCCCTGGCAAGTGAAGCCGGTGTTCTTTTGCTAGAACGCCAGCTTCACAGGCAATCAGGAAGCTGGACGATGGTTCATGATCTGCCGCCCGACTTCCTGATAATCGGGGCACAGGGCACCAGTATCGGTACTCGGTATCGGTAAGCACTGAAAACAAAATATTGGTGTACTCGATACCTGTTCTTGGTTTAGATTTTATGACTAAATTGATTTGTGGAGATGAACCAGAGTCTAATGAAAGCTGATGGCTCCTGACTCCCCCCACTAGACACATTCCGTCCCCCCATTACTGTCTACTGACAGAGGAGGGGGGAGGAGAAGAGATTGTTGTAGTGACTGAACAAGGAGAATCTGGGACTCTTTTCTGGATTTAGTGTTTATTACTCACCTGCGCTGATCTCTGGAGGGATCTCCTCCTCTTTCCATGGCTCATCGTCATCTGTATCTTCCGTTTTATATTCATACCGGCTTTCTTCCTACAGCAAACCAATAAAAATATTGTCCAATTTCTTGGAATTGAACACAAGAGCTAGAGCTCTTCCAACTACATGCATGTACCTGATCTTCCTCAGGGATCTCCTGATGTTCCTGTGTGGAATCCTGGGAATACAGAGGACGGGGACATCTCTCTGGGGTATTTCTCTTCCTGGATCCATCTGTAGGTAGCACAGAAAAGCTATGGAACAGTAACTTGAACAACAAATACCGTAAAAGTTTCTGTATTTTGTGTTCATTACTCACCCAATCCAATCTCTATAGGAGCTTCCTCCTCCTTAATCCTCACATGTCCTTCTTTCTCCTCCTCAACTTTGACATCATTCTGAGTGTCTTCAGGTTCTGTGAATAGAGATGAGAGTGAGTACTGAGATGTATGAGAGACCCCAGAGAGTGTGTGTGGGGGGGAGACTGGTCACGTCTCTTGGCTGGAAACACACAATGACATGATGTGAGGAGGAGAGCCGGAGTCTAATAGAGGCTGATGGCTCCTGACTCCCCCCACTAGACATATTCCGTCCCCCCATTACTGTCTACTGACAGAGGAGGGGGGAGGAGAAGAGATTGTTGTAGTGACTGAACAAGGAGAATCTGGGACTCTTTTCTGGATTTAGTGTTTATTTCTCACCTGTGCTGATCTCTGGAGTGATTTCCTCCTTACTGAGCTCATCACCAATCACAAGCGTCTCATCATCTTCCACTTTAACTACAATGAGGCCTTCAGCCTAGACAAGACAATGCCATATATATTTTACCAGTGTCTAATGTATTGTGAGTTTTAATTAGTATCCTCGTTTCATACTACCTGATAATCCAGAGGAAACATATCATCTTCCTCTGTGGAGTCCCGGGAATACAGAGGACGGGCCTGAGGGATCTCATGATGTTCCTGTGTGGAATCCCGGGAATACAGAGGACGGGCCTGAGGGATCTCATGATGTTCCTGTGTGGAATCCCGGGAATACAGAGGACGGGCCTGAGGGATCTCCTGATGTTCCAGAGGGATCTCCTGATGTTCCTGTGTGGAGTCCCGGGAATATAGAGGACGGGCCTGAGGGATCTCATGATGTTCCTGTGTGGAATCCCGGGAATACAGAGGATGGACCTGAGGGATCTCCTGATGTTCCTGTGTGGAATCCCGGGAATACAGAGGACGGGGACATCTCTCTGGGGTATTTCTGTTCCTGGGTCCATCTGTAGGAAACACACACGATGACTGAATACATTGTTTCTATGTCTTTATATCAGAGGATGTGTGTATCTAGGGGGATCCTCAATACTCAAGAAAGGAAAGTCTCCTCTTACCCGGTGATGTGAGGGGCGGCCGGTTCTCCATCATGACGTCCTTGTAGAGATCCCGGTGTCCTTCTAGATACTCCCACTCCTCTGTATATCTGAGACTGTACTTGCAACATAAGATGGTTGAAAGATTACTCTGCAATAAATCAACATATAAACAGACAATAAAGTTTTGTATTTATAAAAGAAGGTGGGGGGGGGGGGGGGGT